CATATCTCAGAGCTGTCCCGGAGCTCTCAGCTCTGCCCCACAGCCCAGCGGAGCTCAGCCCCATCTCTCCCACCCCGGACACTCACTGACGAGGTTGTACTTGGCGTTGAGGTTCCTCCGGGCGTAGTAGAGGATGGCCGGCACCTTCCAGCTCATGTCAAACTGCACGGCCTCGCACTGCAGGGGACGGGAGGGGACGCTCAGGGGCCAGCCCGGGTGGCTCCACGGGGTGGCCGCGGTGTCCCCTCGGTGCTCACCTTGTCCACGGGCTCGATGAGGAAGTCGTTGAAGAGGTACCACTGTTGGTGGGTGACTCCCTGGAGGGGGGAAAGGCGCGGTTTTAGGGGGGCTCCCCCCTCGGGCCACCGGGCGCTGACTCCTCTGCCCGGTCACCGGGGAACGGAGGGCGCGGCGGCGCCGCGGGGGAACCCCCGCCCTTCCCGGGACACCGCGGGGAAATCCCTGCCACCCTTAGCGGTGACAGAGCCAGCCCCAGGACTGGGCCGGACGGAGCTCCGGGCTGTGCCCGGCTCCCGAGCAAAACTCCAGGGAGATGCAAGAGATAAGAGGCTGAGGGACRCGGAGCCTCGACACGGAGCCTTGACACATTTTGGGATCTCCAGCCCGAGAGCAGGACTGCCCGGCCCAGCCCTTTCCTCGGGAAGGGACATGACGTCCCTGCCCTTACCTGGAAGCGGGGACAAAGTTGGGGACGGGTTGGGGACGAGSTGGGGACAAACGAGCTGGGGACGCGCCCGCGGCCGGGAGGAACCAGCCCGAGCGGCTGCGGTGGCAAGAGGCTTCCTGCAGCCCTTCCCTCCCCGCCAGGGGCCCCAGCGGCTCCAGGACCGGCACATTCGGCCAAAAACTCCACCGAGAGTCCCGGGAACGGGGCCGGGAATGACAGCCGTGCCCCAGAGATCAGAGATGCCCCGGAGCTCAAAACTGCCCCAAAGCTGCCCCAGAGCTCAGCGCTGCCTCCGAGCTCAGAGCTGACCCAGAGCTGCCCCAGAGCTCAGAGATGTTCCAGAGCTCGGAGATGCCCCAGAGCTCAAAACTATCCCAGAGCTCAAAACTGCCCCAAAGGTGCCCCAGAGCTCAGAGATGCGCCGGAGCTGCCCCGGATCTGCCCTGGAGCTCGGTGGTACCCCAGAGCTTAAAACTGCCCCGGCTCTCAGCCATGCCCCATAGCACTGTCCCGGAGCTCAGAGCAACCCCGGAGCTGCTCCATTACCTTGTCCCGGAGCTCAGAGCCACCCCAGAGCTGCCCCATAGCACTGTCACAGAGCTCAAAGCCACCTCAGAGCTGCCCCAAAGCACTGTCATGGAGCTCAGAGCCACCCCAGAGCTCAGAGCCACCTCAGAGCTGCCCCAAAGCACTGTCATGGAGCTCAGAGCAACCCCAGAGCTGCTCCATTACATTGTCCCGGAGCTCAGAGCCACCCCAGAGCTGCCCCATAGCACTGTCCCGGAGCTCAGAGCCACCCCAGAGCTGCCCCATTACACTCTCCCAGAGCTCAGAACCACCCCAGAGCTGCCCCATAGCACTGTCCTGGAGCTCAGAGCCACCCCAGAGCTCAGAGCCACTCCAGAGCTGCCCCATAGCACTGTCACGGAGCTCAGAGCCACCCCAGAGCTCAGAGCCTCCCCAGAGCTGCCCCGGAGCTCTCAGCCCTGCCCCGGGGGTCCGGCAGGGTCTCACCTCCTTGCGCTGGTGGTAGGTCTCGCCCACCTTGATGTGCCCCACCAGGCTGCCCCCGGTGCGAGGGTCCAGGATGTGCACCACGGTGGCCATGAGGTCGTAGATGTACACGGAGTCAGGGTCATCCGTGGGGCTCAGCTGTGGGGAGAAAATCGGGAATGTCYGAGCCACCCCTCCTCCAGAACACCGGCCGTGAGGTTTTTTTAGAGAGATAAAATCACATCTCGCAACAGAAAGTGGTTCTGAGAGCTCTGTTCCCACAGCCACCACCAGCTTCTGTCACTTTAGCCACGGTGATTGTGTCACTTTAGCCAC